TGAGCTGCACAATAAATCAACCTTCCTACCTTTGTTCACAACCCATAAAACGTCTATAAAATAGTATTTAAAAAGCTGGCAGATGGCACACACTTGTACAACTGCAAAGCAAGATAAATACCATTCTGTTTGTTTTGGAGCATGGTAGACTGTTGGGGACTTATTGTCTCCATGGAAATAATGGCTTATAATAATGGTATGATAAGTAACATTTCAAAAGAGGAAATGCATTATCTCCAATTCTCAAAAACAGGGAGTTAATACTTGCTTTTTTAATGCAACTAGCAAATGTGTGGTTATCTACTATAGTTTATATATTGTACAACACTGCATATAAAAGCTACCAACATATTTTTGACAAAGAGTGGTGTATCTATTTGTTGTAAAACTGCTTTCTTTTCCTTTCTGCTTTGATAGCACAGGGTGATTCCCCCCCCCCCTGTTGTTAGGGCTGATCTATAGTACAAACTGCACATAAACAGAAATAGATTGCAAACCAGCTTCAGCCAGCACACTAGCATGGATCCCTGCATGATTAGTAGTGGTGAACAGAGAACTCAGCTGCACTGGTTTATTTAAGTGTAATTTTCTTCAGTTAAGGAAAGTCCTACATCAATTAGTCACTCTAATGTCACATAAATACTTGCAGAATGGAGCAGTATGTCCTATTTCTCATATATTTTTCCACTACTTCTTAACACATCGCCAGAGCAGTATTCAGGTGCTGTTGGCTCCAGAATTTAGCATCTTCAGTGTCTATTTAAAATAGAGCAATTTTCTAGCCCTTAAAGATGTAAACTAGGTTCAAAAGTATGTGGGCAAAGCTTCAGAAGCCCGAAGGAGGACTGAGCAGTGTTTCTGATAGTTGTGACTTCTGGGTTTCCTATAGCTGTGATTTAATTTCAGCTGTTTTATTTTATTTGAAAAAATGCAGCATCTAGGCAGATTTGAACTTAACTGCTGGTGTCACGATGCAACAAAATACACCTATGTGTGCTGTTTTCCTTTGTGCAGCTCTTCCTCGCCCCACAAAATGTGACACTGAATTGCTTTTAACAAGAACACATGCTTCCAAAAGCAACCTGCTGAGAAGAGCTTTGATTTGGGAAAGCTTCTCTATGTAATACTGCGGGTTATGAAATCTGATGGATGGCAACAATCTACTTGGATTAGGACAGGATTTCATCCCTATCCTACCTCAGAAGGTTTTTGGATAGCCCCCCTCTCTCTGCTACTTTTCAGTACTTCAGGGACAGACAGATCCATTGGTAATAGCCTATAGTCTTGCGTTCCCCATGCTCCCAAATGCAAACTATCCCCAGCATGTTCAGAAGGCTGCATCTTCCAGGTCAGCATCATTGCTTTCAAGCCAAAACCCAGACCCCCAGCACATGCTTCCTAGCAATCAGCCACATGGTAGGATGGCGTGGACATCATGCTTCTGTAGTCTGTGAGTGGCTGGGTGGTAGTAGTAGTAGTAGTAGTAATATTAATAATAAATTGTCCTGTCTGCATTGCTTGCTTAAGGGCGAAATCATCACCATACTAGCATGCAAACTTGCCATTGATACTGTATCTGTATGTTTAAAAACAGCATTAAAGTTAGGCAATTGAAAGCCATTTCAAAAATCTCTGATGCAAGCACAAGTTTGGATTTGGTTAGGTGTCATTTCAGAAAAAATATATTAAGTATTAAATGTGAAAGGGCTTTTGGAAATCACAGAATGACCCTCCTTTCTTAACGCACCTGAATCAGTGTGTGTCTCTCTCCAGCGCTCACAACACCCACATGGCTTCCTATGCCAGAGAAAAGGGGGCCAGTCAAGTCTCCTGGAGGATCAGAGCTTTCCCCAGTTTCCCAACTCCCCCCCTCCAGCTGCCTCTTAACTGCATGGTATTAATCTGAGGGCTGCAGTTTTTCCACTCTGTGCTAGAGCATTGAACAAGAAAAAAGGAAACCAAGCCAATTATGTTCTTTTGCTTAAAGACGAAGCATAGGGACTGCTATAACTTACTCAGTGAACTCTTGTGGAACAGGGCTAGCATCTATTTTCATTTTGCTTATAGTTTCCCCCCTATGACCTATAACAGGCATAGGCAAACTCGGCCCTCCAGATGTTTTGGGACTACAACTCCCATCATCCCTGACCACTGGTCCTGTTAGCTAGGGATGATGGGAGTTGTAGTCCCAAAACATTTGGAGGGCCGAGTTTGCCTATGCCTGACCCATAACAAGTAGCCCACACCAATTTTTAAGATACTTGAATATTGTGCTCATTTATCGAAAATCTGGAAATGGAAAGTACTCCAGACGCTCTGGGCTCCTTTGGGAAGGATTGGGTGTAAATTTAATAAATAAATGAAGTCCAGATGGATCCCTGTCAGAATAGACTGTCCTCCTTTCGTCCCCCTCCAGTCAGAGGCAAGGGGAATGGTGCCAAAGCTACATCAGTCAAGAAATATTTTGTGGCAGAACTTGGTTGCTCACACATTATTGCTTCCTCAGATAAATATAAGGATAGTTTGCATGTGGACCCCCAACAAGCATTTGGCCCATTCAGCTACGAAAGGAGATTAGCATGGAGACAAAAGGGAATGTAGCTTTCGCCTTCCATCATCATAGATCTTCTGACTTTCTTGACTTTCAGAAAATGCAGCTGTCCTTGAATGCATTAGCAGAATGCATTATCTACATAACCCAAGTCTGAAACATGGTGTTAACATTCATCTTGAGAAAAGTGTATTCAGTTTCAGACCTCATAGGCAGCAAACACTGTATGTAAATACAACCACAGATATCATTTCAGCAATACTGTGGTTATTCTATCTAAAGACTTCATAGGGCTTGGGAATTAAGAGGTGTTCAATTGCTACCCAACCTTCTTAAACAAACAAACAAACTGCACAATCTCGCTAGGCCTGTGCTGAAGGGCAAATTAGTCCTCTCTCCTGTAACACAATTCTTTGTGTGTTTAATTTGATATTAAGGGATGGTGGCGTGGCTCGGTGGGATAGAACCTGGTTTCCATGCAGAAAATCCCAGGCTCAGTTCCTGGTATCTCCAGGTACAAGCTGGGAGAGACATTTTCCTGAAACCCTGGAGAACTGCTGCCCATCACTGTAGACAATATTGTGCTAGATGGACCAAAGTATGACTCCATATAAGACAGCTTCCTGTGCAATCACCCTATTTTTTAGGAAGAGCAATGTATGGTTTGAGTAATATTCATTCCGTTTCACAGCCTTGGCTTTATCACTTCAGTTCAGACACCTATGGCACACTCAGAAGCAACACAGCATTATATTCCATGGGTTTTACTCCCAGGTAAACGTGTATTGGATCAGAGCCCTGGCATCAAACCTTTGTTTTTAAAAAAGCAGCTCTTTATCTTCTATGGAGTGTGGCCTGCATTATGTGTGAGCAGATTCCAGCTGCTACCACTTTCTTTCTCACAATGCCAATTATAGAAGCAGTTCACAGGGAAGGTGTCCAGCTATCGCCAACACAATTTGCAGCTCGCTGCAGCTTCTGGAGTCTCTTTTCCGCTCTACCAAAGGGAGAAAAAACAGGACTGCTTTCTTTCTCACATTGTTTAGCTCTGCAAATTTCAGATCTCACCTCAAAGCCAACAGTCTCTTTGGAGACGCTAATTTTAGAGCTGGATCTATAAGGTGCTGAACGTTTTCTGTTTCCAAAGAGGGGCAAAAAAACTATTTTGGCAGTGAAAAACAGCCTGCTCCGTATAGTGACGGTTGTAGACGTTTTGCTATGAGTCAGAAAATCCAAGAAGCAATACCCCCCATCTCCCAATAGAAAATAAATAATTCCAGCCTTGTGAATTTTGTCAGCCAGTATCTGCTGCCTGGAGGCAGCCATGTTAGGGCTTCTTCTAAATTAAACCTTTGTGACGCTTCAAGTTGCTGAAGCCTTTGCTTCTTGCCCATGTCACAAAAGTCATGTGGGAGAAGCCCACAGTGCAACCAAACTGTGTGAAGGAGCTGTGTTGGGACCACATAACTTGAGGGCTTTAGCATTACCCGTGCAAGCCCACCTTCTTGAGAAACTCCCTCAGCCCAAACTCCAGGGATAGGGAACTTGGTAGCTCTTCCAGATGTTACTGGACCACAAGTTCCATCATACCTGACCATTAGCTGTGCCAGCTTCTTCTAAAGGACAATGGGTTCCCCACTCTTCTTATAGGCTAACGGTCACATTTCAAAATACCCTGCAGTTGGCCTGTAGGATTCTGGGCTTCTTTAACTTACCTCTTCAGTTCTTACCACAACGCAACAGCTGCTGTTCCACTCTAACACCCATTCCTTTCCCCTGACCCATTTTATAGTTGCCTTTATTCCTGTCTCCTCTGAAGCATAAATCTCCTTTCCTCCTCAACAGCCTGGATACTCTCAATATGAGTGGTACCTCGGGTTACATATGCTTCAGGTTATAGACTCCGCTAACCCAGAAATAGTACTTCGGGTTAAGAATTTTGCTTCAGGATGAGAACAGAAATCGTGCTCCGCCAGCGCAGCAGCAGCAGGAGGCCCCATTAGCTAAAGTGGTGCATCAGGTTTAGAACAGTTTCAAGTTAAGAACGGACCTCCAGAACGAATTAAGTACTTAACCCAAGGTACCACTGCATCGTTGAGACACATTCATAAAGGAGAGGTAAAACCAATGAAAATGCCCAGGCTGGGAACCATGATGTTTACTTACAAGTAAACGCCATATAGAACACAGGCTTCCTCTACCTTTAATACCTTTGCAGAAGAGGGGCCTTCCCAAGATGCAGCTGTTGGTATTCCTTTTACTTTTTTATAAGGCCATTGTGAAAAGGTCCAGGGGGCATGTCATTTTTTTAGCATCTAAAGGAAAATTATACACAGGGAAGGCCGCTGGTCATTTTAGGGCCAATTTTCTGGTGCATATTAAATATACTTAGTAACCCACAGCCAAACAAAGGAAATAGAACCAGGCAGCAAAACAGGAACTAATGCAATTCCATCTGAATCAATATAGATTTCCAGTAAAGCATAGAACAAGATACAGAAGTTCAGACAATACAGCTCTTCATGGGTATGTGGCCGATAATAAAAAGGCATGAATTCAAAGGCAAAAAGGCAGCAGCAGCAGCTATCAAGGGCTTCCATACAAAGAATTACAGCCAGTAACACACAGCAGAATTGTTTTTGGTTCCAAAACCATTTGTTTCTAACTTCCGTAATTACGCCAAAATTAAAAGAATGCCTACCCTAACTCAATTTCCTCCATTTGCTCTTTTGCCCCTCCCCTTTTGACCAGACACAGGAACTAGACACACACTCATTTCTCAGAAGATAAACACATTGTAACTCTGCTTTGCTTTAATTATAACTATTTACAGAATGTGATGAGGGCAAGATATTCTGCAGAGCTCAGACCAAAGAAGATCAGATCCAGATAAAATGCATTTTTGTTGTCTGGGGTCTGCGTAACAGACAACTGCTTCAGAAAAGATGATCTCCCACACAGCCAACATTTTCCGATTTTTTTAATTCTTAGGGTGTATTTGCAGAATTTGTTGAGATTTTGCCTCCTACTTCACAACGGCATGCCCTGGATGGTTGATGAACGCAACAGTGAGAGAAAAGGCAGATACCGTTTAAATAAGACACAGTTTATAGGTGTGTGTGCGTGTATGTGTGGAGAGGGAATCAGATGTGAAGTATTAAGAAGACACCAGCTTGGTCAGTCAAGATTTGGCAGACATTCTTATCTAGGCTTTAGCTGCTTTTTGTCTTGAGGAGGAAAGATCTCCACCGCAAACGGGATGAAGAATGCTAAGAGATCAGTCACATCCTTCAATTCTAATGAGTATTCCTTTGCTATTTTCTCTGCAGTCCAGGTTTCCGGAGAGTGGAGATGATTATGGAGAAGGGTCAAGACTTCAACTATGGCGACTTTGCCTCTAGGAACAGACTGAATATCCAGGGGACCAAGATTGCCTACTTTTGTAAGTCTGCGTTCCTCTCGCTTAGAAGGAAGGCTTTCTCCTTTGTTTTTCACCTAGAGCGGGGGAAATTATATAAAAAATAGTTAGGTTTTAGTGTACAAGCTACACATGCTCCATCTGTTAAGGTAGGGGTATGCAACATGGGAACTTTGGACTACAACTCCCATCATCCCTGGCCACTGGCAATGCTGGCTGAGGCTGATGAGAGTTGCAGTCCATATCTGGAAGGCCCCACGTGGCCTACCCCTGCCTTTTAACACTCCCCCTTTCAACAGAATGTAACTAAAACATTCTAAACCCATTTCTTTTCTGAAAGCAGGACTTAATTGTGGAATTAACCTTCTCTATTTGGCTTGCCTGGTGCCTGATTTGATGACCTTCATGGGCCAGGCAGAAAGGAGTTTTCTTCAGATTTTAATAGCTTTAAATGGCTGCTCAGGATTCTGTTAGCTCATAGGAGACGTTTTGCGCTAGGAGGCTTAGTTTGGCCAGAATCGAGGATACACTTCCACAGTTAATGCTAAATAACATTACTCCTGGTAAATGAGGGCCATGAAAATTTGTGTCCTGGGCTTTTTAGACTCGGCTACCCATGTACTATCTGAAACCCAAGGGGTGCATTGGTTGCCAGATGTGAAATATATCTGCATTATTTTCAGCTCTCCTACCCCACTACACTGCTATGAAAAAATGCTGTGACAGAGGATATGGTTTTTACTGATTATCCCAGGTAGAATGGCAGAGACTGGGAATGAGTTCTGCCTGAAACCCTGCAGAGTGGTTTCCTGTCAGTCTCAACCAGGGGTGGCTAACCAATCTGTTGCCCAATAACATCTGGAGAGACCACAATTATCATAATTCCTGACCATTGCCCATGCTGGCTTGGATTTATGGAACTGGAGCCCACCAACTTTGGAGGTCACTCTTTCCCTATCTTCACTACAGATCCTGAAAAATTATTATTCCCACTGAGCACACTACAGTATTAAAATAAGCCTAAAAGCATGCGATTCCTTCCTCCACACAATTTCTCATTTCACATGCAAGCCCCAGCCTTCCCACCAATACACCCTTGGGTCAGTAAGCCCTACTGAACACAGAATGACTTGCCGCTGAATAAACATGTACAGGATTGTGATACTCACCCATTACCTAAACATGCTCACTTGCAATTAAGTCCTTCCTATTAAGTATGTTTGGGATTGCAGCCTGAGAAATCTCAGATAGATTCATCTAGGAACTATGGCATATTGACAGTGCCATCTTATGCATATTAAATCAAAAATAAGGCCCATTAAACTCAATTGGTATTGTATCATTAAGTGTATCATTGCAAACCAGAAAATCCAGAACCAGAGTACCTTATTCCCATGGAAATAGAACAGGATTCTGCTCTATCTTTCTATCCTAAAATACACCGGAGAATATTAAATAATATCTGGTTTATACCTGGGCTTAGCATATAAGATTTTTTTTAATGAAAAATGAATGGCAATGGGAACTGTAAAACACAAGTAATAGCGAATTAAGTAAAATAGGGAGCTATTCGGGAGGCCCGTGGAATATATCTAGATCAGGGGTCAGCAACCTAAGGCCCATGGGCCGGAAGCCACCTGCGGAGGTCATTTGACCGGTGCACGAGCTACCCCCAAACTGAGCTGCCCACTTGTATGATGCGCTAATCTGGCGCGGTGCAGTGTGGGGACTCGCTTCCACAGCGCCGAAAATCATGTCTGCACATGCACAGACACTGAAAATCACAGGTGGGCACGTGATCCTGCCCACGGAGAAATCTCTGTGGGACCAATACGGCCCAGGCAAGATAAACGTTGCTGACGCCTGATTTAAAGGCAAAGCGACCCCTGACCATTAGGTCCAGTCGTGACCGACTCCGGGGTTGCGGTGCTCATCTTGCTTTATTGGCTGAGGGAGCCAGCGTACAGCTTCCGGGTCATGTGGCCAGCATGACTAAGCCGCTTCTGGCGAACCAGAGCAGCGCACGGAAACGCCGTTTACCTTCCTGCCGGAGTGGTACCTATTTATTTACTTGCACTTTGATGTGCTTTCGAACTGCTAGGTTGGCAGGAGCTGGGACAGAGCAATGGGAGCTCACCCTGTCACAGGGATTCAAACTGCCGACCTTCTGATCGGCAAGTCCTAGGCTCTGTGGTTTAACCCACAGCGCCATCCACGTCCTTTGATTTAGATAGATGCAAATGTGATTCCTGCATTTATATAATAACTATAATTTGTTTGCATTGATAATGAGTTTAAAATATGTACACACACAATCCAAGAGAGCAAATGAGACCTAACTTTACATGGACAAAAACTATGGCTATGCTTGTCACTGGTGTGTTAAAGTGCTTAACTGGCACCTGCATATTCCAAGATAACCTGACTCACATGCATAACTGGATCTTTGGACTCAACGTAGACTTCCTTTAATAATGTGTCAAGGTGGTCATCTTTTCTCTTAACCTCTTCTTGGAATCTGTCGGTGTCTAAGGAGTCTAAGGAGAGATTACAGAACACATTCTAAAGTTATATATTCCAATTCCCCTCCACCCCAGCTTAAGCAAAATATTACAACCCTCAGGAAAATAGTTCATAACGCATGTAAGGATACTCCTGAATTAATACACTCCTACTTTCACAACACACACATGTATATATTCCTGTACACTTCAGGAAAAATGCTTTGGCACTCGCTTTGAAGCTCCCATTTCTCTCTCTCCCCGTTTCCTCACTAACGCGCAAGATTATTAACAGTTCATCCAGACCAGTGTTCTACTGTCTACAGTAAGAATGAAGAACATGTGATCGTCAAGACTACAACTCCCATAATCTGTGGACATTGGCCACACTGAATAATAGGCCAATAGCATCTGAAGAACCATATATTCATGCTAGGTGGGGATATGAACCTGGATTTCCCCAGTATGACACTCTATCCACTATCCCACACTGGCAAATAGGGAGGCATCCTCTGCAATCACAATTCACTGTTTTAAGGGGCTCTCAGGAAGAGGGCATGCATCCTGGCTAAGTAAGCTAGTACCCATGGGACTCTCATAGACACTAAGAGTTCGCTGTGTTAAAAATGGAATAAAATAAATTACTGATAGCGGACCAGAAATTCCTTCCTTCCCTATCTTAACAGGATTCATCGCAAAACCGGCAAATATTTGATCTGCACCCCCGTTGTTTTAATTTAAGTTCATGATGAACAGAAATTAGGAGGGAGTGGGCAAAGCTTCGAATAACAGATGGTTAAGAAACCCAGCAAAACACTTGACAGATGTCGACATTGGCGTTCCCAGTTGCCTTGCTTACTGCCTGGGCAGGGAACATGCGGCTCCACAGACGTTCATGCACTACAGCTCCCATCACTCCCAGATCGCTGGCCGTGGCGGCTGGGGCTGATGGGAATTGTAGGCTGGCAAACATTTAAAAAAAATCCTGCTGGTTTCCTCCACCAGTCCAGGGAGACTACAGCTCCCAGCTTGCAAATCAGGCCGGTAGGCCGCGGGAATACAGCTGGGAAGAGCAAAGGACCTTGCGCGCGCGCAAGCCACTTCCAAATGTCCAGGGCGCGAGAGCCGGCGCTCCCAATGTCACCAGGGCCTTTCCTTGGGCGCTGTGTCTAAGCCGCCGCGCCTCTTGCAAGGAGGGCCCCCAGAACAGAAAAGAATTCCCGTTTGCTGCAAATGGTCCAAGCAGCCGAGCAAAGGCGCCACAGGGCGGCTCAGGCACCCAGCCCCCTTGCTTAAGCGGAGCGGCTGTGCGCACCGCGCCTTGGCTAACTCACGGTCTGCAGGCTGCGGGTGCCGCGGGGCTGGCGCGGGCTTGGCTTTGGCGATTTCCCGGTGGGCTCGGCTCTCCAGGTTGAACTTGCTGAACACGCGGGTCACCCTGGCGCCCATCATCCCGGCGCGCGGCCGCCTCCCACTTCCGAAAGCGAGGCGGAGACGCCTCCTATTCGGGCATGCGCACCGAGAAGCAGGGAGAAACAGGGCGCCCCATGGCGGGCGGGAGGCCCCGCTGGCGCCGCCGGGAGCTCTGGGTAGACCGGCAGCCGGACGCATCGATTGCAGTTTGCTTTGCATTTAGTGGAAGGATATGTGGACATAGACTTACCCAAGGGAGGGGCAGCTGTCCCCCCCTTAATCAATCAATCAATCAATCAATCAATATACATAGCTAAGTGAGGTTCTTCCCCAACCCCAACAAAAATATATTAAAAAACAAGATATAACTATAACAGCAGTGTTAGGAACTCAGATATGAAAGCTAGGAGCTAAACGGCACCTTAAACCTAGGTTATGGACGCAACAGTGGAACATCTAGGCGTGCTTTTTTATAACAGGAATATAAAGCTGAAAATGAATGACCTGCAACTAAAATCTTACGTCCATTTTTCACATGGTCTAGTCCTCATCTCAAGACTGCAAAAAACAAAGCCATGCATCCCCTGCCCACCCCGCTAATATTCTTAAGAGGATCTCTTCTCTGGTCTTCAAAAAGTGGCTGGAAGTGGGCAGGCAGAAAAAGGCCCTCCTTTCCTTCAACTCTGCAGTTCTAATCTGAAAGCTTAGACACAGTACTGCATCTAGAGCTCAGAAACTGCTTGCGCTAATGAAATCCCCTGTCGCAAAATGCATCTGGAATGATGGGAGTGTCCAACACTTCCTGTGAGGTAGGTTTGGCTTAGGGAGAGTGATTGTCCCAAGGTCACCCAGCAAACTTCATGGCCCGGTGGGGATGTGAACCCTGGTCTCCCAGTTCCTAGTCTAGAACTCTAACCACTGCACCACCACAGTTTAGGCTGAGACTGACAGGTTGCCCAATAAGCTTCATGGTTGAGTCAGGTCCTAGTCCACACCTGCTCAATGAGACTTATTTTTGAGGAGGCATATATAGAATGAAAACATACACAAATGCCCGCAAGGCGAATTGCAAATAAATAAATGTATAGTACCATATTGTGTAAGCGAGCCTCTTTCCCCCACAGCACCATGGTCCTGATCTGAAGGACCATTCCCCTTCAACTGCAATTAATAGGAATATGATTCTTTCTATGCTGTTTTCTATCATTAAAGCAATAGACTCACTAAAGTGGAGAGTCCAGCAGCATGCCCACCCCTAATACAGATTGGGTTCTCCTAACACAGATTGTACACAGGGCTGGCAGTCTAAGACTTTCAGCTGCCAAAGGCAGTTTCCTGTAGAGAAGTTGACTGGATTGACAGCTGATTCTTTCTTCAGCCCTAGTGAAAAGAGTGTCCTCCCCTGTACCTGAGGGCAGCAGGCTAGTTTAGGGCTGCAGGTAAGGCCATGTGACACACACTGCTTTGCCCATTGATGGGAAGAAATGGTTAAGGAGTGCTCCAGGTAAATAGCACCCCAGCACCTGCCACCTGAGACGACATCATTCTGCCCATTCAAACGGTTATGGCCATTTTGTACAGAGCCATGATCCTATGCATGTTTGCTCAGAAATAAGCCCCACACTCATTCAGTAGTTAAGTGTGCAAAGCACAGCATTCTTGATCAGTGATCTGAATAGGCAGCTAAACCCTTGCTATATACCGGTGGTTTCTATATCCAGAGAATTTCATTATGAGTAGTTGGGCTGTGGCCAGAGACATTATTTCCAAGGTTGCTGCGCTTAACTGAATTCCCAGAAAACACAATGACTTCCGATATCACTTCATATGCAATAGGCTGCTGTTGTACTAACATATAGCCTTGAGCATCTAACTGCCATTGAGGCTGCTGAGTGCTACACACTCATTTCTTATTCTCCAGCCAACTTCCCTCTTGCCGCTGGAGGTTTCCCACGTGGACCATTCCTCAAAGAGAACAGTTATTTTCTTTATAGATGCATGGTTATATAACTTGGCCTTGGAATCTGCCGGAGGCCATCTGTCCCATGTGAATAGACTGACACAACAACTTATCAAAAATGACCAGCTTTCTGCTTATGTTTTACAGGCAACAAGCCAGCTACATTTTGGCATTTACCACCATAGCTTCATAAGAATACATTCAAATGCTGTAGTTTTATTCCTCTTTTACTTCAAAGGCTAGTTATATTATGCCCCATTGTGGAGATTTCAAGTACCAAGTGTCACATATCTTAGAAAGGATCCTAATCAACTGCTTATTATTATTTAAGGAGAGACTGGGCTGCCATCTGTCAGGGATGTTTGTTGCTGGTTTGTAGATCCCATGTCAGGAGTGTGGACTTTAGGAAGATGTGCTGTATATACTCTTAGCTCTTAGACTCCTCAACACATATTTTTATTTCATCCCCCCCCCCCCGGTCATTTCATTCTGTAGGAAATCATTGATCTGTAACTGCATTCAGGATCCATGGTAATCAGTGGAATGTTCTCTGATGAGACCAGAAATGATTGGATCCATCATTCCAAGTATGCTTACATGCCACGGGGACTTTCAGATCATTCCTTGTGCAGATGAACCAGCTGGGTCACAATGAAAGAAGCTATAGCTTAATTGTAGAGTTCATGCTTTGCATACAAAAACCCCTAGGTACAAGTCCAAGCTTAAGCCAGTTAAAAGGGCTCTTGTTAGCAGGGGTGCAAAAGATTATTATTATTATTATTGATTGATTGATTGATTGCTTTAATTTGTATACTGCCCTTTATCCAAAGATTACAGGGCGGTTCACAAAAATCAAAATGAGAACATGCAGTACATAATAAAACAAGAATGAAAATAAACCAATAACCCTCTTCCCACAAATATTAAAAAGCCATAGAATGTTAATCAGCTAAAGGCCTAGTTATACAGAGAAACATTTTTGCCTGGGAACCTCAAAAACGTCTGCCAATCAGGATAGAGAGATGAATGGCTTGGCATTATATAGGCAGCAGTATCATATGAATATATATGTGTGTGTTCACAATTAGAGCTATACTTCAAGAGACTACATAAGACTAACTAGCAGTTTGAAAGCACATCAAAGTACAAGGAGATAAATAGGTACCACTCCGGCAGGAAGGTAAATGGCGTTTCCGTGCGCTGCTCTGGTTCACCAGAAGCGGCTTAGTCATGCTGGCCACAGACCCGGAAGCTGTACGCTGGCTCCCTCGGCCAGTAAAGTGAGATGAGTGCTGCAACCCCAGAGTCATCTGCGACTGGACCTAACGGTCAAGGGTCCCTTTACCTTTAACAGAGAAAGAGGGGGGGATCCCAAAAGGATAGGGGCTATAACTCAATGACAGAATACATGTTCTGTATGCAAGCAGCCCCAAATTCAGTATCAAGTATCTCCAGTTAAAATGATGTGATCTTCCAGAGGTAAGTCCCATGAGTTCACTGCCACATAAGTGTGCACAGAACTGCTGCCTAAGTGAGTAAAACAGAACAGTATATTGTTGCAGGAAAAAAGTCTACTCAGGCAAATGGTTTCATTGCTGAACAGACACTGATTTCTCAAAAGATACAGGAAATTCACAGAATGATTCCCTGAGGACTTCATTTCACAGGTAGATCAGAACTGCTGAAACTGATGTGCAATCCAAGCTCACAACTAACTCTCTGTTGACTTCACAGCTGATGGGACTTTAATGGTGTGCTGTTCATCTCAGCATGGAACTCAGCCTGTCACTGCAGATATGTTGACGGAGCAGAAATTTCAGGAATGTATATTTTTGTATCAGAAGACTTCAAATGCATTTATGTAGTAGCACATCAATGATTCAGGGTGCAAATAAAACAGCACACTTTGTAGATGTGCATGAGAATCAGCTTTGAGTCTAAACACATGCGCAGAGCAGCGGTGGACAGTGCTCCCTTGACCTCCTTATGGTTGCACCACTCTTGTTTACCAGAAGGCAGAGGGGGAGGGGCAAGGCGGCTGAAAGATTGGCGCAGTGCAAATGTACTGGTTTGGCTCTGCCAGTGCATTTGCACGGCGCTGCCCTCACCACTGCCTTGCCCCTCCTCTTCTACATCTTGGTAAGCAGCAGCACTGTGATTGACTGGAGACCAGTTGAATGCTGCCACCATGCCACCCGCTAGTGGCACAGAGTCCATCAGTGGTCAAAGGTTTCCCCATTAAGGCAAAAAATAGGCACAGTCTGGCTGTGGTTTCATTTATTGAAATGAACATGTAAACATATAGAATATTATCAGCTTTCACAATAGCAACTCATGCTGTCCCATTACTACAGCTGCTAAGGTAAAGGTAAAGGACCCCTGACAGTTAAGTCCAGTCGCAGACGACTCTGGGGTTGCGGCGCTCATTTCGCTTTACAAGCCGAAGGAGCTGGCATTTGTCCACAGACAGTTTTTCCAGGTTATGTGGCCAACATGGCCAAGCTGATTCTGCTGCAACGGAACACCGAAACCAGAGCATTGCACGGAAAAACCGTATACCTTCTGGCCGGAGCAGTACCTATTTATCTACTTGTACTTTGGGGCATGCTAGCACTGGTATAAAGCAATTGCGGCATAAAATCTGTCAGCCCCAATGTTACTTTTATGCATGGCTCTTAAAGCAATTATTTTAATAGTGCTCACTACCTGGTATCTATCTATTCATTTGCCTCAGATGCATTTTTAATAGTTCTGATCCATCTCTAAATAATGTATTATTAATTCATTTAGGAAATAAAATCTGCATATCATACATCCAGACAGATATTGTTATTATTATCAATCACATTTTCCCACTCAGATCTGTTTTTAATTACTTATTCTAATATAGCTAATGGTACAGAAAGGAGCACACCAACTCTGTAATGAAAAATACACAAATACAGCTATTTCTGAAAACCAAAATGAACTTCACATTTTGTATTATTCATTTGCTGTTTCTAGAGCTGCAAGCTTTAACTGACTAGGTGATGTAATTCATTAAGTGCCATTTTAAGCACAAAATAGACAGTGGTGCTAGCAACAACAAAAAACCTCTGGAACTACTGACATTGCAGTAGAGGGG